AGATTGTGCAGTGGACTCACTAATATGATGTTTCTATGTATATAAATGTAGAAGTATATGTATAGGTATGTCTTCTTTTTTTAATGGATTTTATTGTGGTTTTTCTCTCCTGTAGTTGTAATGGCTTTTAATGAAATACAATAAATGATTGACTGACTGGCATGACTCATTCAGAGCTATTATGTTTGTCAGGGATATCTCTCTAAAATATCTGCTCTCTGTTTTATGCATACGAGGATCTAGACTACACAGGCCAAACTACTGCAAAATAGACCTGCCTTGCTATGAGATAGAAAGCTAAGCAATCATTTGATCCCTTCTGTCAATCTACGTAACACTCCCCCATTTGGCTGAAAAATATATTGTCATTCCTATAATAAGATACTTCCCCCACAAACTTTTTTCAATAAACTTCCAGAAAACTTGATTTGCAATTTAAATTGTTTACAAGTATAAGCTCTCCTGCAGTGTTCCAGCACACTTCCTTCATATTTAATTGCTGCAGACACTTCAGTTACTAATTAAACTTTATTGTTTATGACACCACTTTTTATTAATAGCTGTGATAAAACTTGTGTATTCTAGCATATTTGGCACATGTTAAAATAGGAGTGGTGTTTGCCATTTACTTAAGAATACTGACATTCACCAGCTTTGTGTTTGATGTACCTTGATCCATACAAACATAATCTAATTATGACTGTTGCCTACTGGAACAAAAGCTGGGATTTACCTATTAATGAAGCTTCAACTGATCCAGGGCTCAATCAGAATCTGTCAGTATTCAGAATCAAGTTCCAGCCCTATAACAAACAAGGTTGTAATCCAACAAGTAGAAATTTTGAGCATGAACAGAGTAAGATTGCTTCATATATACAGTTGCCCCTCCCAATTTGTGGGGGATCTGTTCTGGATCCCCCTGTAAAAATGGCAGCTTGCTAATATTCGAACCCTATTTAAATTAATGGTAAGTGCATGTAGCACATGCAGGGGGCCATGCACATGTGTTCACAGCCATTTAAGGTATAGCTATTGTCCCACAAAGAGCAAGACTGTGGACCTCAAGTCCATGAACAAGGAGGGACAACTGTAATTTTCCCCCTTATATGGAGAAAGGAGATACATATATAAGCTAGAAAATAAGATACTGTGGAATGAGACTAGAAACATCTGGCCAGAGCAGCAGCAGGAATAGCTGTTGGACTAGGGTGGACAGACCACTCTAAAAAATGTCTGACCCCTAATGGGCTAGTTTTTATATATCACATTTCCCTATTCTCCCCAACAGTCATTGTCACCATGAGAAATAGGATCCATTGATATCCAAAAATGGCAGCAAGAATATTTGTTGGACCAGTATGAAGATTTTCTGAAACATTGTAGGGAAGAGTCACTGTGGCCCATCAGGTGTTTTTTATTTAGTTTTTTTACTACAGCTCCCATTATCCCTAGCCAGTATTGAAGACTTTATGGGTATCTAAGGCCAAAAACATACAGGCAGCCATAATTTTCACCCCTGTCATAGAGGAAAGTGGACAAGGAATCACATGAGAGTGCCACCTGGCTACTGGGATCTGTCAGCATGAGGGCGATATGTCCGTAAATGTAGACTAATTTTCATCTTCTCCCCTAGATTAACATAGAAATGGGACAGAGCAGATCTTGAAAAAATGACATATATCAACATTGACTCTTAACTTGTAGGCGTGTTTGGAAAGGGAGCCTGCTTGCTATAGCTACCCATCTAAAAGATTTGAAAGACACATCATTGCACACCATTTAAATTTGGACTGTTTTAAAGTGTGTATGTCTTATTTGTCCTTTTAAAATGTTGCATGTCTTAATTAATGTGTTTTAACTGATGCTGTTATTTGTTGATTTGTTGTTGTTCCCCACCTCAATGCATGGGGAGAGGTGGGTAAGAAATAAAGTTTGTTTGTTTGTTTACATACTTACATGTGGATTGAAAATTTATCACATGATGTGTGGTTCAGAGAATATTATGAACCTAGATACAGTAGGCTGTGTCCAGCCACTGAGGCCTTGATGCATGATCTAATGTTGAGTGAATGAGGCCTTCAGTTTGCCACCTGCATGGCGGAGATTGCCCAAAGGTAATACCTTATCCTGGTATAATACTTTATAAATCTGTATAAATTATACTTTCTCCAAATTGTCCCGGTAACTGAATCCAACTCAGAAAATGGTGGATGCCCTACTCTCTTTCCTACCTGTCTCACAAGTACATTAAATTTGGACTGTTTTAAAGTGTGTATGTCTTATGGTGGATGCCCTACTCTCTTTCCTACCTGTCTCACAAGTACATCTGGTGGGAGCATGGGAGAAGGCCTTCTCAGTAGCTGACCCCAGACACTGCAACTCAAGAAAGTTAAACTAGCACCCTCCTTATTTTTTTTCACATACAAGCAAAGACAATTCTACTCCAACAGGCATTGGATGAGTGATTATATGGACTGGGTATTGCTAATTGTTGTGCTGGTGTGTTTTAATGATATATCTTTTAAACCCATTTTTAATTTTTCTGATTGTTCAATTGTGGTTTAACTTTGTATGTTGTAGATTTTTAACATTTTCTTTTAAATTGTTGTAAACTGCTTTGAGTCCCAATCTGGGGGAAAGGAGGGACAGAAGAAACAGTGATGATGATGATGATGATGATGATGATGATGATGATGTACCTTATTGGTTTGGTGGTGTTATTAGTGGAGATATGCTATTTCCTGCAGACCTCCAATGTTGATCTAGTAAAAGGATTTAATATGATTTTTTAAGATTTTTTTTTAGACATTCTAGTGAAGATCAATTGCATCAGTTCAGTTTTCTATTCATAAGGAAATTCCAATTGAACCTATGGTTTTCTCTCATCTTCCAACATAAATGCCAAAATGTTTTCACTGAAATGCATCAAAATAAACCTTAAATTAGGGACAGATCAATGGCCCAGAACACAATCTTAGAACAGCCTGGAAAAGATCTGCTATGCATTGTCTTCACAGCCCTGAGGAGATGTCTTGGGGCCTACATGGGGCCCCCAGGGCACACTTTGCTCACCCCAGACTTATATGTTGTTTGTTCCATGTCAGCAATATTCATGGTGTCTAGGGACTAGTTTCTGTAAAATAAGGAGAACTGTGCCACCCTCACAGCTTTTCAGAAAGCACATTTCCATGAAAATTGTGGCCTTCTGTTGTCATAGCAACTCTTATGAATCCCACGTGTTATATTTTTTTTTTTAAAAATCTTTTTTTTTTTTGTTCTTCAGCTGAGAGCAAATTCCAATAGATGCTGATAACACCATTACATAAGATCACTTGATATAACCATAGAAGGGACTGTATTTTTGTTTCACAGACAATTGCATTTTGAGCCTGTTGCTCTGCTGCTGTTGTAATAATGCATCAGTCTTAGAATTTTCTTTCCAACATAAATATATTGGTGCTTTACACAGAGGAATCCAAGAACATCTATTATTTCCCAGAAAAGGAATACAGAAGGATCTGTAAAGAGAATAAGTTGACTCTACAGAGGGAACATAATTTAGGGAAATTAATTAGCTTCTTGAGAAGAATTCATTCTTCAACTTGTAGGGTTGGGCCCTGAAGGAAAGACTTCAAGCCTGATATAGAAAAATAGTTTTTGTATATGCATATATAACTTCTCTCTCTCTCTCTCTCTCTCTCTCTCTCTCTCTCTCTCTCTCTCAATCTGTATGTTTGTTGTTGTGTGCCTTCAGATTATTTCCAATGTATGGTGACCTTAAGTCTGAGGCTGTTGGCAAACTCCCAGTGCAGTTTAGAGAAATCACCCAGATGCAGCCAAAACAATAACGTAGCAGAGTAGAAAAACAAAAACACCAGCTATTGGTATTGGCAATGCACTGACCACTTTTCACACACACAAGAAGATTACTCATAGGCAGTTGATTCATCCAAAGTTCTGGAGGCTTTTATCTTCAGTTGCAATGTGTACAATATTTACACACTCCTCTCAGTCACCTTCCAGTCAACTACACCAACGTCCAATCCAACCAAATCCACCAGCTCCAAACTAACCCACAAACTACCCACACTTTTGGTCCACTTATATGGGAGGGTGTTCCTGAGTCATTGCCGCTCAGTGCCACATAGCATGATGCAACATTGCAGCTACATTGCATCATGCCATGTGTCCCTGACTCAGCAATCTGTGGCAGTCACACAAGATACATGTCATCTGTCAATTAAAATATTTTCTATGTCTAAAGGTACATTACTCCAACAGAGACTGAGAGTGACTTGCCTGAGGTCATCCAATGGGTTTCCACAGTTACACAGGGAATTGAACTCTGTTTCCAGAGTTGTAGCTCAATACCCAAACCACTACAGCACCAGACAAATATAGATATATGGTATATGGATATATATAGATATATGATAGATCTGTGTATGTGTGTGTGTGTGCTAATATTCTTAAATTCTGGATCAGGAAGTTGTGACATAAAATTCAACAAGCCACATCTTCTCTCCAACCCACCCCCAAAGCCCACCTGGTCTACCCTTCCAACGTAACCATTTGCTGGCAAGTAGAGAGGTGTGGATGAAAGAGAAGCATCCAGCTATGTTCCTATAGCTGACATACAGAGACAGGGATCCACTGGAGATCCCAGAGAGTGACACCACTGTTATGTATCCAGTTGCAGGAACATAGCTGGATGCTTTGCCACTATCCCCCCTGCCCCCAGTGTTCTCCACTGGTCAGGAACTGAAGTAGGGAAAAGGTGGATTGGTGTGTCATTGCACAAGGTTAGTAGACAACAACAACTATTACTTATGTAGGCATATGTTGGACTTTTTGTTGTTGTGTGCCTTCAAGTCTCTGACTTATGGTGACCCTAAAGCAAACCTATCATAGGGCTTTCTTTGTTCAGAGGGAGTTTGCCTTTGACTTCCTCTGAGACTGAGAGAGTATGATTTGCTCATGGGTAACCCAATGGATTTCCATGGCTGAGTGGGCATTTGAACTCCTGTCTCCAGAGTCGTAGTCCAGCACTCAAACCACTACACCACTCTGGCTCTCAAACTAGATTTATATAGGCATAAATTGAACTTAATGCTTTCAGACATCATTAATAAGATGCCATCCCTCCTCCCTAGTGGAGATCTTCATTTTTCCCTTGCAAGACCGATTGATTGATACCACGCCTTTCTCCCAAATGGGATTCAAAGATACTTACAATATAAGTTAAAACAAAATAGGAGTTTATCGCATTCCTTTTTTTCCCTGATCTGGGCATGGGGTGGGGACACACGTGAATGAGGTGAAATGGATTTTATTGCATTCAAAACAGTCGCAAGCTGTTGCCATGCCATCACCCGACCACCACCCATTCCCAAGCCAGGCTAAGTTGGCTGATTATCCAGGGAACAGGGTCAGACACAAGTTTGGTGTGTGTGTGTGTCCCCTAAGCGATGCTTCTTTTCATTTCTTTCCTCCTTTCTCTTTATTTACCATTCTGTCAGGGAATGTCTATGTGATTCAGAGAGTTAAGAGTTATTGTAGTTATTGTTATTGTTGCTGCTGCTGCTGCTGCTGCTGTTGTGTGCCTTCAAGTCATTTCTGACTTCTGACCACCCTAATGCAAACCTATCATGGGGTTTTCTTGACAAGATTTGTTCAGAGGAGGTTTGCCATTGCCTTCCCCTGAGGCTGAGAGCATGTGACATGCCCAGGTCACCTATGGGAGTTAAGAAAAGTTAATTTCACATCTCAGTTCTTTTGCATTGTACAAGAGTATGAATAATGTTATTGCTAAATAATGTTTGCCTCTCTGAACCAAAGAATGGTGTTTGCTTCAACAAGTCTCACAAAACAGTACTCATTGCCAAGACATTAACCCAGCTTTCCCTCAATCTGGTGCTGTCCAGATGTGCATAATTCCCAGAAACCCACAATATAGCTCACACTGCTTGGTCTCCAAATCTGGAAAACACCACATTAGAGAAGCCTGCATCATTCCCATACTGTAACAAACTCCAGTGTCCAGGGAAGTGCATAATCTGTTAGCTAGATCTTGGTAAATGCCTTCTTTTATTTTTGCCTTCAAAGAATGCTTTCAGAAGGCCTTTCAGAAATGTCATTACACTACAAACATGCACACAATAGTTCTGCAGGCTTCAACATCTTTCCCTGGGTATCTTGCTGTTCAACTCTCTTTTGAAGACATGATTTAGCATACAGAGAGACTATTTCCTTTCCCTAGTATCCCTCCTCCCTTCCTCTTCCCACCTATGTCTTTGAATAAGGGAATGTCATTGCCATAACTGGTTTAGGATGAAACAGACCATCCCGAAGGAGTGGCTTGTCACCACCCCTTTGAGTGCCAGATTGGGGCTGCTGCAACTTCATGCCACACCCCTGATCCAGCTGTTTCCTGGCTCAAAAAGAAGTGGCAGAAAGCTGCTCCTTTTTGAGCCAGGAAAAGGGTGCCTTTGCTGCAACAATTGTGGGGTTTTTTAGCTCCGGCGGCATGTAAATTCCATGCCAACAGAGCTCTGCAATGCTGCCCACCATGCGATCAGGAGGATGGTGAGATGCTGGCTTGAGGGTGGTGGTGGGGTGTGCGTTGTCTAAATGGCATGCCCCAGGCCGGCATATTGTATCAGTCTGTTCAGCCCCCTAGTCACTTATTTACTTACCTATTTATAGATCTTTTTTCACTTCATGCTGAAAATTTGCTAATAATTATCTAGAAACAGAATAATTTCCTCTATTTATAGGGTTCTTGCACTGCAGTGCTTTATACCAGCTACAAAACAATGTCCACAAAATAGCTGCTTGCTCAGAATCCTATTAACATCTTGGTTATTGCTGTGTGCCTTCAAGGCATTTCTGACTTATGGTGACCCTAAAGCAAACTTATCACAGGGTTTTCTGGGCCTGACAATGTGTGACTTGCCCAAGATCACCTAGCGGGTTTACAACACACTGGCTTTTACTACCACAATAATTGATGGGAAACTGATACTGTCCTATACCTGCCTGTTTTAAGCTATAATTCTATACTCACTTGAAAGTATGTCCTGTTGAACACAATACCTCTCTATCCTTATTGTTTTCATTCTCTTCTACCACAGCTTAGTGGTGGATCACATGCTTTGCAATCAGATTTTCCCAGAGTCAATCCCTAGCATTTCCCAGTGGGGTTTGAAAACTCCTGTCTAAAATTCTGGAGAGTTGTCACCATTGTCAACAGTACTAGTCTAGATAGATCTGAGCAGTTTCTTATTATCTATTCTGCTCTTTCTTCCCTGTATACACCAAATATTCCTGTTCTCATTAAAACTCCACAACCTTGTACTACTTACTGTCTTCATGTTCCCTTATGGTTCCTGATATATGGGGCTTTTCTTTAATCCTTTCACCTCTTTTATAACCTTTCCCCCTTTCTCTTAATGTTCTGTTTTGATTCTTTTACTTTCTTTAGCATAAGCCTTTTATAGGTTTCCTTTAGACTTTACATCCATTTGTGTAATTGTTTCAAGACTGCAAACAGAATGTTTTCCTTCCCCCCTTCAAATTCTTATTGTCCATCTTTTTTCATATATGTGTGTGTGTGTGTGTGTGTTGTGTTTTTTCCCACTATATATATATATATATATATATATATATATATATATATGTTGTAAATAGCAGAGAACTATTTTTGTAATGGGTGTGTGGGGCCTAGTATATCTTAGATACTTTAAACAATCAAAAATGATGGTAATGATATTTCAGGCCTGATCAAATAAGTACTTTCTTGAGAAATTGACAAATCAGTTGCATTCTTTGTTACAATCATTGGAGAGGTATGTGTAATTCGCTTAACTTTTTCCTACAAGTCATCCTTGGAGTGCAGTATATCCCTTCTTTGAAAGTAATATGGCAGCTGCATTGATTACTACTTTGGGCTTTTTTCTTTTAAAAATACATTCACTGAATGCTCCTTAGCTACCCAGCCTGTCAGAATTTCTATCCCTCTTTGCATTTACAGGTAGCACTTTTATCTGTATTCATAATGCAGAAAGACATTGCTTTTCCTGTCTACACTTTGTCTTTACTCTGACTGCAGAAAGAAAATTTTACAGGAATTCAAAAGTAAGCTAAGAAAGAGGGAGGGGGTCTCTTATCGAAGAGCGTCAGATAGTAAAACCTACTTCAGTGCATCTGTGAAGATGAAAGAGAGCTGCAAGCTCCCTGATAATAAGCATGGAACTACAAAGACAATCTGGAAATGACAAAATAGTTCTGCTTACCTTCACTGAGCTGTAAGTACCCTCATATGGCTGATAATAACATATTTTTATGTGCCTTAGGACAAAATTCACAAGCCATGTGGCTCTTGGTAATATTTCTGCATCTTTCTGCTGTTCAGGATCAGAAGTTGTATTTAGAGCACTTCTCACTGGATCTTGAAATATTACTGGGCCAGGACCAGAGGGAAATTTCATAAAAGTGCTGAAGACAACTGAATTTACACATGCTGATGGCTGGGATTAAATTTGCATTTGTCATTTGAACTTGCCAACGTTTCCTTAAAGTTTGATTTCCAGTGGGAACAGTAAATCACAATAGGATTTAATGGGCATTCACTATAACAGCAGCAAATTATTTTGTGAAAAGATTTATGCAATCCCTTCTTTTCTTTTTCTCTTCTTTTTTTTTAAATTAGAATTATACAAGACTTTTTATAAAACTGTTCATGTTTGGTACTGCACCAAATATTGCCCTGTTTAAATCTTTTACCCTCAAAACTTACAGGCATGAGATACAAATACCTTCCCCAAACTCTTGAATAAGAATATTAACATTAGTCCTCCTCCCTGATTCTGCTTGTTCCCCAGTGACATCATTCAAGTTGGTGTCACCCCACTGCAGTAATTCATGTTGTCACCTTCGGGCACGCAGCCACTTCCAGGCATGCAGGGCACCTCTTCCTCCCTTTACTCAGGTGTAAAGACATGCTGGGTAGGGAAGTGAGGGTGTGCCCTTTTGGCCCTGCCCCGAAGCCCCACACCCAAAGCTCCCCCTGCACCAGGTGACAACCCAGTGTAGGCCGCCACTGGCTGAGTCCACCTTGGAGCCCTGGGATTGAACTCACAACCTTGTAGCTGTAGTACCAGAATTTAGCCACTGCACCACTAGGGCTAGGGACAAGGCCTCTTTGGGTTGTTATTGAGAGACACCTTTCTCCTCACTAAATTATCCCAGTAGATGCGGAGCACTATGATTGGTGGCTCTGAAGTAGCAATGCTGGCTGCTTTAACTAGATTCTTGTGCTTTCACTTTATTAATAGTTGCATGAATGCAGTGACGACTGGTGGGAGGCAAATATTTGGCAGTGGAGAAAGTGTGCATCTGGGGGTTATGTGTAGCCCATGAGCTATGCATCACTGTGTATATCATTGTAACACTAATGAGACAGATGACTATTTTTATACATAAGAAGGTAGGTCATGAGAGTAAGCATGGTGTTGCGGTTTGAGCATTGGAGGTCAGGGTTTGAATCCCCATTCACCCATAGAAACACACTAGGTGATCTGGGGAAAGTCACACTCTCAGCTTCAGAGGGAAAGCCCCTCTGAACAAATTTTGCAAAAACAACAACAACAACAACAACAACAACAACACCCCACCATGATATATTTGCCTTAGTGTTAACATAAGGTGGAAATGATCAAGGACACATAAAAACAACAATAGTTAGGTCATCAGAAAAATAAAAATTAGATTTAGAAGTACACACAAGTAACACAAAAATGTAATCACATTAAGCTTTTTTATGTGTATCATGCAGTAGAAGAAACTAACATGCTAGCAAGCCACTTTTTATTCTTCTGTCTTAATCCTATCCAATTTTGTGCTAATTTAGCTTGTTAAATTGATTCTCTGTAGTGTTTCAATGGAGATGTGATGTGATTATACAAGCTAGATCCCAGAGGTGGTATGCATATACAAGATCCATATGCATAAAAGGCAATGTCATTTTATGGGGAAAACAGTATTTAGCACATCTAACCTAATATCAGTTTGC